AAAGCCCTGGGTATCCATGACTTTGCTTGTCGGCAGACAAGAGTCAAAGGAAGACACCTCTGCCTCCCAGTGAGCAAACCTCCATGATGGAACCCACTTCGCATCTAAACCCAAAGCAGTTGGGGAAATGTAGTGTTTGGCTTTCAGTCTCTGCAGAATAAGAGAGCACGTGAGAGGGAAAGAAGAAGGAAGGTTGAGCGGCAATTTACAGCATCCCCCAGAACTAGAGTTGCCAGATTCAACCAGATGCCCAGTTAAGTCTGAATTCCAGATAAACAACAGGTATGTTTCTAGCATAAGTATGCCCCAACTACTGCATGGGACATACTTATACTAAAAAAGTATTCATTGTTTATATGAAATTCACATTTCACTGGGCGTCCTGTATTTTAATTTGCTAAATCTGGCAATCCCAACCACAACACCGTCCAGAGCTGATTTCTAGTTTTTTCTTGTTGAGATCCCTGAGAGAGGGAAGGAGAGAAAGTCAACCCTGAACCCCCATGACCATCAGCTCATCCCCGATCCTCTCCATGTACTGTGTCTGATACGAACAGCATGAAAGGCTCAGTAACAGGGGTTCACAGCAACATCATTTGGACCAAAGTTGAGTTTGGGAAAATGGAGCAAAGTCAGATATTGGGTTACTGAGGGTGGTGTGGTCACGATGTCTGGATGAACTTTACCTGGCACTCCATCATTCAGGGTGATGTTCTATCTGCAATGCTCTTATACATCGAGGTCTGAGCCACAGGCCTTGCTCTCAAAGTGGCTCACAACTCAGGGGAGGAAAAAAAAAGCAGATGTGAGCACAGGCTGAACGCCCAAGAAATGCCAGAGTCCGAGTGAGTTCGGGGGTTCTGAGCAGGAAGCCTGGAGGAGGACAGGGAGGAGAATGGGCGGGGGTAAGCAGGGCCTGGTGTAACTCAGGTGAGGGAAAGGAAGGAGGGACAAGGGCTAGCAAAGTCAGACACGAAGACCAGATGGTGGGGATCGGTGGGCGATAATAGCAGCTGACATGTACAAGGCCCTTGTCATGGGCCAGACTCTCTTCTGAGAACTGTGTGCACTGAGCAACTTTCATCAGCACTGTGAAGGACGTTTATGACTCACCTCATTTTACAAAGAGGCCAACCCAGGTAGAGCAAAGTTCATTGCTCAAGGCTATGCAGCTCGGAAGTGGAGATCGTAACAGAAAGGCAGGATTGGCTCAGATTGAGGAGAACCTTGAATATCCAGGTCTGACATTCAAATTGGTGATACAGACATGGCTTGAGTGTCAACCACAGGCAAGGCGCTGGATTCAAAGACAGGTAAGCCGCTGCCTCAGTCAGTCAGACAGGATGTGGCCAAAGCTCTAGAAAGGACCTTCGACCCAGAAATTCTACACAAAAAACCTCCATCCTAGTATTAAAGACTCTTTAGCTATGAATACTGAGGGAGTGGTTAGCTATGAAGATTTCATTCCAATGTGACTTAGAACTGAAGAATTTGGAAACTATATAAATGTCCAACCATACGTGATTAGTTAAATAAATGATAGTTCAGCCATCCATTTAAGTCATATTGCAGAAGAATATAGAAAAATATTTATTGATATGGAAATAAGCCAATGATATGTTACTGAGTGAAAAATGCAGATTACAAAATAGTGGATACTTTATGGTCCTATGCAAATATGTGTGTGTGTGTGTATTTTAACTTGGAAAGATAGTGCAAAGTTTTAATAGTGGTTATCTTAATCTTAGGTGATACTACTGTAAATAATTTTTATTTTCCTTTTTTGCTTCTACTGTATGAATATTGAGTGCCTCCTAGGTGCCAAGCACTATGCTGGGTATCACATACACAATGGTGAACAAAAGCATATTTACTCCCCGCCTCATGGATGAATAAGGGGACAATTAAATAATTATGGTATAGTTACAAATTAGAATGTACAATGAAAGAATAAACGAAGTTCTGTGATGGAGAGGATCAGATGAGGACATATGTGGATCCGATGGTCAGGGAAGACTTCTGACATTTAAGTCAAGACCTGAAGGCTGGAAAAGAGACAATCTCAGGAAGGGCTGAGGAAGGAGGTGTGCCCAGCAGAGGGAACAGCATATGCAAAGGCCCTGAGTAGCAGAGCACCTTAGGGAACTAAAAGGTCAGAGAGAATGGAGCACAGAGAATTTGTTTTCAGAACTGGGCCTTGTTGAGGTGGAGGAGCCCTTGTTCAGGGGACACTGTTCTTTCTGTGGCAGATCCCTTCTAAAGCACCACTCCCCCCCCACAACACACACTGACACACCCAACTGTGTGTGTGTGGTGGTGATGTTTGTGTGTGTGTGGTTTTTTTGTTTGTTTAAACCAACTCAGGACTACCCACTTCCTGGTGCAAGTCATAGAAGACAGCAGAGGCCTGCTCTCATGTCAGATTTTTACAAAATCTGGTTGATAAAGTGAGATAATAATTACTAAGGAAGATATAAACCGCTCTTTTGGATTGTCTATGTAATTTTGGGAGTTTCTGTCTAACCAAATGATTTACTAAAGGTAAAAAAGGAGGAACACTTTTCCAAACACCAACAAGGAAAACAACCAATCTTATCTAATTGTTCAAATACACTGGACTATTTTCCTTGGGGCAATTGCCAATTTCCTTCTTTCTGACAGCATGATTAGGGTCCCAACACATTGGGGGGGCAAGTAAACAGGATACTTTTTCCATAACCCCACGTTTCAAGTCCCTCGGCACGAGCTGTCATCCTAGGTGGGTCCACACAGAATCTCCAAGTATTGTGTAAGGTCACAGACTTAATAAAGAAAAATTTAAAGATGCTCTGGGGCCAAAGCTCAGCTCTAGCTGGAAGTCTGTTTCCAAATCTGGCAGTCTGCTGGCCCATTCGCCCACCATCTTCTTGGCTCTGTGCCAGCTCAAGAGAACAGGATGCCAGGGCCCAGCTGTTGCAGCAGGGAGAGGGGGAGAAGGAATTTCCACCCGAGGAGCTAATAACAATACAGGTAGTGAGGATGGAGCTGTGAGTACTCCTGAGACCCTGGGGGAGATCCGAACCCACGTCCCCTCCTTCGCCAACACAGCAACCCCAGACGGTAAGCACGTGTATTATCTCCATGTAACAGATGAGGAAACCGTGGCTCCCCAGTGTGACAGCCGGAAGAGGACTCAGCCCAGTCTGCACTTCCCCCATGATTAGCTGGCTGACAATCAGAGAAACAAGACCAGAGCACAGGGAAGCACCTAGGAAATGAAGACCAAGTAGGTGAATCCGATTTGCAGCTGGGGTTTAGACAGGGGAAGATCCCAGCGGATTAGGGCAGCGCAACTCCATCGTGCAATGGGACCACTGAGAGAGGTCCGGACACACAGGACCCGTCCAGCCAGGAGGTCTGGGGAGGGCAGGCTGCATCTCACCAGCTCCCAGGTGAGACCCGAGGGGCTGGAGGAGGGAAGGAGCTGGTTTCTGGAAGAGCTGTGTCTTAAATGATTTGGGGAAGGGGAAGAAAGCGGCTGACAGCCCAAGCCATGGGCTTTAGCTTTTTCTTTTTTCGGGGCATGGATCCCTTTGAGAATCTAATAAAAGTATAGACCCTCTCCTCAGAGGAAGGCACAGGTGACTCTGCAAAGTGTCCAGGGTTCATGATCCCAGAAGCCCATCCACGCCAGATGAAGAGCACCTGACTGTTAAAATGAGAGCAGCAGAGAAACAGGCCCCCTTAGAAGAGGTGCTCTTGCACAGACGCCCGCGGTTCCCCAGAAGGTGGTGGCGCCAGGACTGGAGCCCAGGTTTTTCTGAGCCCCAAGCCTGTGTTATATCTCATTATTCTCACTGAATGAATCAAAAGGCCTGAAGATTAAAAGCCATAACCCCCTACCCACCATGCACTACAGGTTGCATCACTTCATCCTTTGGGATTGGAAAGAACCTTATGATGCTGGAAATGGGTTCAGGATACCCCTGCTGTGAACCCCCCCTCCAGGCAGAAGGGGAAGAGTGCAGCAAGCTGCATCATTAGGACCAAGATCAAGGAGTCCTGCATTCCGGTGTCGGACTCCCCCTATCCTCGCCTCCTCTGCCAGCAGCTGCCCCAGACGCCTCATGATGCTGCCCCCACATCCAGGCAGTTCAGTCCAAGCCAGGCCTTAGCGCCACAAGGCCAGGACCCTGGCTTACTTCTGTCCTGTCAGCCTCACGCCAGTTTGCAACAGACAAAAAGCTAGACAGATCCACTGCAGATCCCGCCCATGAAAACTCAGCCCACAAGAAGTCCGACTGCCATCACAGACCCTTTATTCCTAAAAAGCGTTCATCACAGAACTTGTTTAAATAGATCTGCTCTCCCAGATCTAAAATACAGCCCAGCACTCCAAGCGGCCACTGCATGGGGAAGGAACACGTGTTTGTTGAGTGAACAACTGCACACCAGCTTCCATGGCCATACAAGCAAGCTGTCCAGTGAACCGTGCAGTTTTCTTACAGAACCACCTGCTGTTTGTTCCCCACCTTTCCAGCCCAGACCCTCACTGAAGCCAGCAGTTGACGTCTACTCAGCCACTGGGAGGGTAGTTAGCACTGAGCTCAGGATTCATCGGCCCCATTGGATATTCCAGATCCACACACTGTTTTCTGAGAGGCTTTGCATCTCTGAGCTGCCTACTGAATCAAGCACTCCTGGGAGGGCCCGCCTCAGCCCCTTATCACCTGCACCTACCTGGCCAGGTTGCAGATGTCTCCCTGGGAGGAGGCTGACGGTAGAGGGAAGTGGACATCGGAGGAAATGTTGTTCATACCTCGCTCCACAGGAAAATCCTTAGCCAGTAACCGAGTGATTTTGAAGAGATTTTCAAAACCCCAGGGCAGGTGCAGACTGGGTAAGAAGAACTCAGGGTTGGTTAGCAGTGGGCTGAGCAAGTTGGGAAATCCAGCAGAGATGTTCACACACAAAGGTGCCTCTGCCCGGCTCCCACCCGGGACTCAAAGACAAGGCCAACGTTTTGAAAAATATAAAATTTTAATAAAGGCTACATCTCTTAATTACAATAATTATTGTACCAAGTAATTTTCCTTAAATGAACTCTTTATAATGCATAATTTACAGTATAAGTAAAACAAAATGCCATGGCAAAAGTCATTGAGTACAAGACTTGTAATAAAAAGGCATAAAATATATTTGTACATAAACCCCTTTCAAAAAACAAGGGAAAGCTTGAGCCCTCAATATAGGGCGACACACGGAGCGGGACACCGTGCAGGTACAGGTACTGTACTGATTTAAGATCAAGCACTAGAGATAGTGGACTAATACTCTTCTGCCGTACAATATATACAGACGTATAGTACAAAGAACAATGGCAAACAGAAGGTACAGATTAACTTAACACAAAAACCCGAACGTCAAAATGAAGGTGTATGGAGGAAAGGGTGCTGCTAGGTCTTCCCACAACTGTCCTTTGCAGGGCAGGGGGCAGGGGGATAATTTCCAGAATGGCTGTGGTCCAAAAACTAACTGAAACAAACAAACAAACTCCAAGGAGCTGTTATTTCAATAAAAGCACAAGTTGAACCATCAGGTTCCAGCAGGCCCCAGCCACTGGGCACCGGCCTTGGTGGGAAGCTACAAGAAGTTACAGGGTGCATCTGGGGTCCCAATGAGGCTCCCCCCTCCTCCACCATGGATCATCCCATCCAACACGACAACCCCAAAACTGCGGGGACGTTGCAACGTAAGTCAAACCTCAAGACCTTTTATGACGAAACAGAGCAGCATAAGAAATGCACCAATTTCTGTGTGTGTCAATGGCAGGGCACCATTTAAAAAGTCTATCTTCACTTGGAGAAACGCAGGGCAGAGCTTAATTCTTCTTTTAATGAAGAAATCATTAATGCACTCCTGGTTCAACTCCTAAGTTTAGATAGAACAATTAAAACTTCCTCTCTCCCCCTTCCGTGTTTAAAGCAGCATATCCATAAACTGGGGATGGGGGGAATTAATTGTTCAATAAATATCAGTAAGGATTCCTGTTCAGGTAAGCCATACAGTTTCTCAGTTTATGGATTTCAGATCCCTAGGAAGTCATACATTATGTATGGCAGTCTCTCAGATACAGTCAGCATCTTCAATAGCCAAGAGTGGTCATGTTTTTAATAAATAGTTCAGGCTTTTCTTATCTCAGTACCCAGCTCGGGAATAATGATAACCCACCTCCCCCCACCCTCCCGAAGGCCCAGTGGCCAATTCTTCCCTAGACTTTGTCTTCTTCATTGGTTTAGTTTTCCTTCAAAATGCTTCATTGTGGTTGCTCACGTCCAAGACCGGTGGCGCGGGCTCAGGCCCCACAGTTCGAGCCCCAAAGGCTCAATCGATCCTCTCCACCTTCCCCAGAATCCTGCCTTCATACATGGGGAGCACCGTCTCATCGTCCCAGATCTCCTCGAAAACTGCTCCACAGGCAAACTCGTCGCTTGCTTTTTTGAAGTAATACCTTAAAAGGAAAACCCAAAAACCATCTTGATGAAATTGCATTTTCTCCTTTGTTTACAAGTATATGAACACTGAGGACTGAGGTGTCGTAAGAATTCTGCAACAGTAGGTGAGCATGGAAACGTCTGTCCATATCGGATCTGGAGGGCAGCCGGGGCCAGTGAGGGCACCACCGGGCGGGTCTTATGTCGCTGGGGAGGAAAGGCAGGCAGGCACCCTGGGAGCAGCTAGCAGCCTGGGTGGCTTCCCTCTTGCAGTCTTCAGCCCAGAACTGCTACTGTCACCCAATACACACATACAGGGAAGAGCAAACTCTGCAGAGTAGAGCTGCTTCTTTGTCCCCTTTTGGGGGGCGGGGTCCCCTCAAAGAGACCCCAGGCTCAGCCACCCTGAACCTATGGAAGTCTGTGGAAGGCTGACACCTCTTGTCCTTCCCACCCTCCAGTGCCCATGCGCCAACTCTGCCGGCCAGTCTCTGGCACAGCCATGGGACAGACAGGCTGCTTCCTCTGTGGCCCCTGCAGGAGGCAGGCCAGCCTGATCTTGCTTCTCAGGGTAGCAGACAGCCCCGGTGCATGCTAGGCTCCCCTCTTCTCCCTCCCTCCTCCTCTCCCACCCCACCCCTCCAGGGTCAAACACGAAAGGTCCTTCTATTATGCCCCTTGATTAAAGGTTCCTTTTATCCCACCCAGCCTTCTTTCTTCTAAGGCTGTTTAATTGTATGTGCAAATGACCGGCCTCTCGAAGGAGAGTCACATTTGGAAACAACTGCGGTCCGTCCTCCTGGGCCAGGCCCACTCCCAGGCCTCTTCTGAGGAAGTGAAGGGGGAGCCTCTCTCTTGCCCATCCCCAGCCAGTGAGACCCCTCAGATGGATTAAACTTGCCCCTGCAAGCGTCATCTTCGGCCAACCAAGGCCACTCACAGGAGAGAGGGTCACAGTCCCCTGGGGGGAGGGGGCAGTCTCTCTAAAAGAATTAAATTGTGTCTTAGGGTTATGGTTGTTTTTTTATTTTTGTCTTTTCTCTTAAAAAAATTAATTCCCCTTGGTTAGAGCTAAATTTCTTTCCTCTTTGATGAAGGCAAGCCAAATACTTTCCTAAGAGATAAGAAGTAAAGTGAAACAGCTGCGTTTGGTCAGGGCTCTGTTTTCCGCGTTCCCAGCTGAGCTGGAGCGTCCGGGTGAGCAGCACACACGGCTCTAGTGGGTGAGAACGCTGCATGGAGAGGGGGTGTGCATCTCGGGAGGCCCCTGGAGATGGTGCGAAAATGGGAAGGGGCTCTGTGCTCACGAGACCCCGATAGCGGGAAAAAGTCACTTATCCAAATAAGAGGCTCAAATTCCGATGCCCCCTCAGTCACGCCCCTGGGCCGCCAGCTCCAGCCCGACCTCGGGTTTACCAGGCGAGCAGGGCTTTCACGGCATCTCTGAACAAACAGGCAGTGACCTTTTACATAATTGCCACCTCTTCCAGAGAGGAGACATTCCCGTGGCCCCACCCCCAAGACTTCAAAAGTGCAGCGCTGCCCTCGTTTTCTCCAAGAAACGGGCTTTTCCACTGCAACATGCTTTATGTGGCAAACTCTGCTTTCTTCTGACATCTGGCACCAATAGCGTCTGGCCCGCCTGGAGGGATTGTTCTCCGGCTGAACCCCTGCCACAGGGAGATTACTCAACGCAGCTCAGGTCCCCCTGCTCCACAGCCCCGTCCTCGCTGGGCTTTTTATTGGGGGCCGAGGGGGTGCAAAGTGAATGTTGGAGCAGCACCCCTGCTGGGAGGGCGAGGCATGGCACCCTGCACTCCCCGACCCAGGAGGGCAGCGAGAGCAAGGAGAAAGAGATAAGGCGGCTGGGAAGGGCCTTGCCACAGCCTGATCCAATCAGGAAAGAATTTGAGAGTCGACCACTTGTGCAAGTCTTTGTGCATTAAAGGAGAGGCCGGGGCTTCAAAGCCAGGCTTATTAAGTGTGCCTTAGAGAAAAAATCAGAGCCAGATGTGGCCAGAGTGGCTGAGCATGGAGCCTCCCCTGCAGCCTCGCTGCTCAGTGCTCCGTGGCCCTTCTCCCCTGAAGGTCACCTGCAGTTCCACTCAAAGTCCAGCCGAGTCAAAGCTGAGATCAAAATGAATCCCTGGAGGGGCACACTTGTGTAATTAGTTTCACCTTGTGTCTGTTCAAGATTAAAAAAAAAAAGGAGAAGCAGCAGCCAGACCTGTTCCCCAAACCCTTTGATACATTTTCAGAATTGTCTCTGCTCAGGTGTAAAAGGGAAAGATCTAAGCCCAGCTCCATGGACTGAGTGTCAGTCACCTACAGGGTCCCAGCCCGAGCCCTGTCCCTTCCCCTAGAAGAGGAACCACTCTGGGCCCCTGCCCCAATCGGCTCCCAGGCAGAGGTGGCTGGTAGAGCTACACAGGGCTGGCGCTGGGAAGGGACGGGGTCTCAGGGCCCTGGAGGTGGGCTCGCCTGAGTCTAGAAGCCAGTGCCCACCCGGCAGGTTGCTAAGTGCTATGAAAGTTCTCCACTCCCATCCAGGCTTGAGGCGGAGTGGTTGGCACCTTCTGTGCCCCTCCTTAAACCACGTGCTGGGCGCCTCGCTTGCCCCTCCCTTGTCCCCGCCCTGCAGCCGAGATATAGTTGGAGCAGGACTCACATATTCCCTTGGGATGAAGGCCATTGAGAAGGGGCAGGCAGGACTCTGGAGTCATCACCTGCCCAGCATTAAGGGGAAAGTAACCACGAAATGGTCCAGGGCTGGTTCTCGAATCCTCTCCAGGGCCCTGGACAGCCAGGGTGGGCACCTCCACTGTGCAGACGAGGAAAGGGAGCCTGGAGAGTGGGAAGCTCCCTTCCCTAAGGCCCCAGCAGGGAGGGAAGGTGGTGAGGCCCTGGCAGGAGAGTGGCCAGCCCTGTCCACCTGGTGCCCACCCACAGGTCCTGCCCTTCTTGGTTATGGACAAAAGAGCATTTCTGCTTCACATGACCCATAAAAGAGTGGGGTGGTGCTTCAGGCAGAAAGGCTGAGGAAGGAGAATGCTGTCTACACCCCCAGGCAGTGGTCTCTGCCCTTCCCTAAGCCTGCAGTGTGGACAGTCTCTCCCAGACCCAAGCCAGCAGAGCAGTCTTCTGGTCTCCTAATCGGCCTGTCTGTCTGTCTCTTTCCTCCCTCCACATACCTCTGTCAGGAAGAGCTCCCACAAGGCAGCCCAAGCCCAGCTCTCCTTCTGACAAAGCAAACTGCCCCCTTTCTCCTCAGAGTCTTGATCACCTGGAAAAGCCGTCCAGGTCCCCACAGAGCCCTCCCAGTGGCCTCCCCGATGCTGTGTTATTTCTGTTAGTGGTGAGGGGAGAGAGGAAATGAGGAAGAACTGAAGCGCCGGGCAGCCCACTCCAACGGCCTCCCCGAGCGCTTCCTAACCCGGCTCTCCGGCCCCTCCCAGGTCTGGCCGGGCCAGGGAAGCGACTCTGGCTCTGGGTTCTGAGCAAACAAACTCTGGAGCAGAAAGAAGCCACAGGACTCTTACCTATAATTTCCCTTTTTGCTGAGCTGCTCTTTAAAGTGGCCCAGGGTCAGGCTCTGAGCCTTCAGCATCCTCCTGTATGGGATTTCTTCTCCACAGAAAAAGTAAGTGACGACCAACTCACTGGCCTGGAGCGCATGGACCCCTGCCAGTTTCTTTGGCTCTTTGTGACTGAAAATAAGATGGAACGCAGCAAGTTCAGTGTTTGAAGGCAGCAAGGAAACACACACACACACGCAGGCTCTCCAAACACTATTTCCAGAGATGAAGTGAGGCTGTAAGCTCCAGGGGGCCTGGACGTGGGGACCCCATATCACAGAGGCAGCCACCTCTAGTGGAAACACCGTCTAATGCTAGGTCATCTTGTGGGGCACACAGGAAGGGACAATTTCCTTTGGGTTGTACAAATTGCTATTGTTTTCCTCACTGCCACCAAATGGGGGGACAGAGCAGCTTCAGGTTGGCACAAATGGGGTGCTTACCAGTGAAGATGAGAGAGGAGAAACTATCACAGGGACAAACACCCCAACCAGGGTTTGCTGGGGAGACAAACCCAGAGCACTTTATGGGATGACATGAACTCAGAATGCTAGAGCCCACTGGGGGTTAGCCCATGGTCATTTCAACTTCCCCATTTATTCCAAATTTTTGTAGAGTGGCTTAAAAAAAAAAGCTGCAGGCCCGGACAGCTGGTAGACTTAAGGTCAACCAATTAAAACAAAAGGGTCCAGGGCGGTGGCTTATTCAGGAATTTAAACATTGTTGATTGCTCAAGATGAAGAAGCTAAGAGAGAAACTTTAATTATTTAGACCATTCTAGATTTCTGCAGCAGACTTCTGTTTAAAGGCACCCTCCTATAATTAAACAAAGCCAGGCTCCTCTGCTCACTTTTCAAGAGTGTAAATTTATGAAAAGAATCATGGCACAATTGAGAAAGAAGTCCTGTTTTTCCCAAGCAAAACAACAAAGATCACCCTCTCTCCATCTCTACAATGATGGAGAATCATCTTCCTGCTCAGTGTGACACAAAGATGTCTCCAGGGGCCAGCCCCATGGCCGAGTGATTGAGTTCGCGCACTCCACTTCCGTGGCCCAGGGTTTCACTGGTTTGGATCCTGGCCGCGGACATGGCACCACTCATCAGGCCACGCTGAGGAGGCATCCCACATGCCACAACTAGAAGGACCCACAACTAAAATATACAACTATGTACTGAGGGAACTTGGGGAGAAAAAGCAGAAAAAAAAAAAGAAGATGATTGGTAACAGTTGTTAGCTCAGGTGCCAATTTTTTGGGGGAAGAAAAGATGTTTCCAACTTGCTAACTTGCAAGCTGAATGGGGATAACATTTCCATCTGGGTTTGGGGGTCCCTTTTATCTACCTGCTAACAGCTTCATATCTCAGCTTTGATTACTGTGTACCAGGAACCCTGAGCCGTCCATCGCTTCAGGAAGGAACACCTGTGCACAGGTCATGATGCATTCACAATGTATTTCTCAGTACAGGCAGGGTTTTCAAGATCTTAATTTACGACAGCATCTTTGTTTACTGTTCCTTGTTGCTAACTTTAAAATCAAGGTGATTTTATATACTGAAAAAAGTTTTCAGAAATCACAACTCCAGACAGTGAATACCCTGAAACGTAACCACCAGGCAGATCTCAGCAATGCCAGGTAAAGACACTCACTCCTCAGAAGCCAGGGTTGGGTTGGAGAAGGGCGTGGCTCCTGCTTGACCAGTGGCCGAGTGGTTCCTGTCCCTCTGCTGACTGGCCGTGCAGCACCTGAGGACACGGCCAGAGCGGAGGATTCAGAGGTAAGCCTGCTGTCCCCAGGGCAAATGGGGTGACCACCTAAAGAGGCACAGAACTGACTTCCATCCATGGGGAGACCCAACTGAGGCCTGGAAGACGTCTCAGGAACAGCCATCCTAAGTGCCCGCCAAACCCCTCCCCCACCGGAACCTGGGACTGGACACTGCCAGCCCAGGCAGGGGCTGAAGGCTCTCGAGTCCCCAGTCATGGCTTCTTATACACTCATCTAACCAGCCTTCAATGATCAGGACGTCAGTAAGCAATGGGACTTGTAAGGAATGACTGAAATTCATTCCCCTCCTTCTAGGCACGACTTGCCTAACACACAGATCCCAGTTAGCTCTTCAGAAGCAAGGGAACTAAAAGGAACAATTTCTGGAGGTTGGAAGGGAGAATCTCAGGCAGCCAGGAGCAAATCCTCCCCCCCAAGAAGGGATGAGGACCTAGGCAGACAAGGCGTTCGTTCCCTCCAGGGACAGGCCAGGGCACCGCCTCCACCCCCCATCCCTGCCCTCCCCGCGGAGGCCTTCTCCACTCACTCACCGCTGCTTCGGAGGCTTGGACACCTCCGCCAGCCTACGGCAGGCCTCCTCCAGCTGGGCCAGGGTGTTGGGTGGGGTCAGGGGAGGCATCGCAGGGTCCTGGGCGAACGGGTGGGCTCGGGGGGTGGCGCGGGGGTGCCCGTTGCCGCCCCCCCAAAGGTGGTGCCGACCGGCTCGCTCGGCTGGGGACACGCGGGCAGACTCTAAGGGGTAGGCCTTTTTTGCGCTTTGGGCACTGAACAAGAACGAATGAGGCGAGAGAACGCAGAAGGAAAGAAACTGGGTTAGAAAAACTGGAAAATGTGACTTCAATAGAAACTTCTCTATTCTGCCTTCAGAGAGAGAAGAAAAAAATAACCCTACCATAACACGAACAGGGGGCGTTGCCAAAACATGGCATTTTTGTGGTCTGCTCAGTCCAACATTTAATATTAAGATGGCAAGAGCAAACAGTCCCATTTGTTTTCGGCCGACTGCAAAAATAGCCCTCCCCACGACACCTCCGCGGTGGCCGGACCCTCGCGGCGGCCGCGGTGTTTACCTGTGGGGCTTGGGCTTGCTCTGCCGCTCGCTCTCCAGCATCCACTGCCAGACATCCTGCGACCTGTCTCCTTCCTCCCCGGGCAGCTGCGGCACCCCAGCTGCGCCTGGGGCCCCTCCTTCCCTGGCGGGCAAGGCCAGGCCCGGCTCCGTGCCTTTCCCACTCCGTTTGGGCAGTGTACTGCCTCTGCTGCCACTGTGGGGAACCAAGAGCCACACCCGTCCCAGAGAGCCCGTCACACCTCCAGGACTCGTCCCATCGGGCAGTTCGGCAAGTGCTAGGGTGACACGACAGACCCAGGCACCTGCTCCCCTGCCTTGCCCCACCCTGTACCACCCTCCCGGATGCTAAATGCCTGTGACCTCCAACCACCCCCCACACCCCCCCTCCCCCACCTGCCCAGGGCTCTGGTGGGGAGAGCAGTCCCCGCCGGGATCCTCCAGTCTGCCTCACACTTACCCAAACTGCTCCACTGGCGCGGGCTCCGGAGCCTTGGGGTGGCTCTTGCATTTCGAGTAGCAGTAGTACTCAGGGCCCCCAGGGCAGAAGCAGCGCACCCTCTGGGCGGCCTCCGCCTCAATCTCCTCCTTGGTCTTGGGGACGGCGTGGTGGTGGATGTAGTGGTGATGGACGTGCTTCGTCGTCTGCTTGGTCACGAAGCCCTTGGCCCCAAGGAGGGGGCAGCCGGCCGGCAAGGCTGCGGCGGGGGGCAGCTTGCCCCCGGGCGGGAGGAGGGGGTGGTACTGCTGGTGGTGGTGGTGGTGGTGGTCAGGGGAGCGGGAACGGGGGCTGTAGCGGCCCACACCCGGGGACTGGCAGCCAGGGGTCTTGAGGACCCTGGACAGGTGGTCGTCCAGAATCGTCTGTGGGTCCTCCTCATAGCTGCCAGAGGGTAAGAGGGAGAGGGGGTGCTGGGTGGGCCCCCCCTCCCGCGAGCTGAGCGCTAGGTCGGAGCCGTCCTTCTCTTCATCCTGGAAGGGCAGACAGCAGAAGGGGGAGCGACCCAGTAAGTGGGAGGGCCCCCTGGCAGGGCACTGGGTCAAGGGGAGGAGCGGCGCCCCCAGCCCCAGCCCAGGGCCAGCACTACCTCTCGGATCTGCTGCAGTCGCTCCTCCAGACTGTGGCGGCTCTCCAGCTCCAGCTTCAGCTTCTCCAGCCTGGAGATCAATTCGGCCGCAAAGGTGGCGGGCTCCACGGGGGTCATCTCCTTGGGCAGGCGGTGGGTTCTCTAGAGGACGCGGGGAGGAAGGGGACGAGGCATGTTTAGCAGGCCAGCAAGAGGGGACAGCGGCGGCCCGGCGCCGGGCGTGGTGGCTCTGCGCTGGAGCAGAGAGCGGACGGCGCGGCGGCCCGGGCTGCTCGGCAGTTTTATGCGCCAGCACCGCGGCCTCATGGAGAGCCATGGTCCCCACCAGCGTTTGCCTTGGGCAGGAGCAGTTGGTCGCACTCCGAGAGGCCCCGCTTGTTCTCTCTGTAGTACAACCAGCCCATCAGTAGCTACTCTGAAGTAGAAAATCTTCAAAGACTGTTGTCAAACATCAAAAAAAAAAAAAAAAAAAAAAAAAAAGGCAGCCCTCTGAGGTGGGGAGGGGAGAGAGACCAACTCAAGGAACAGAAAGGCGAGTCTAAACAGAAGGGGAGCTGGAAATTTAAAAAAATAAGATTGGAAGGGAGGTGGGGGAGAGGAAAAGGGAAAAAAAAAAAAAAAAGTCACACGGCCAGATCAGAAGAAGCGGTAATTTATTTCCTGGCCGCACACTGCGCACCTTTGAGGTGGTGTTGTCTCAACAGTGTCCTACATGTCCCTCGCTTTCCTGCGCCCCCCGCCTCCCCATCTCTTTGTACAGAAAATGAAGAAGGCTGCTGCAGGCTAGTAGCAGAACACTGCTGAGTCTGGCTGCCTGAATCTGATCTATCAAGGGAAAAGGGAACATCTCCAAACCAAGTACAGAATATAAAAGGCACCGGGCGCGCCTGCCAAAAGCAGCCAACAGAGAGAACCCCCACTGCCAGCTTTCTGTCCTCCTCCTGTCATCTCGCCCCCCACCTCCTCGGTTCTTCTGCCTCCTTCTCCCTCATTCCCTTCTTGCTTTGCCCTTTTCTTTGGGGTGGGGGCAGCAGAAAGCTGACCTGCAAAGGCACACAAGCATCTCCCCAGCACATGAGCCAGGCCTCACCACGGCAACCACTTAGCTGCAGATCCCAGGGCACAGAAAGGCCCCTCGGTAGGAGATGGCCATCCTCACACAGGCTGGCTCCACGCAGCCCCCAGTCAAAGCGCTGCCTTGTGGAGTTGAGTCGATTTGCACACCCCAGGACAAAATCATCTAATTCACAAGCTTGGGTGGTAGAACTTTTCTTTATTAACACACGTACCACCCCCACCCCGCCAAAAAAAAAAATGTGTATCATCAACACTGTTGTATTTGCGGGGGATTGTTACTGAGGAGGGGGAGGCTGGAGGTCCTCAGAAAAGCAATCTTATGTTAATTTTAGGACAAGGTTAAGTCTGTCCTGGACCGCGTGGGGAGCCTGCAGGGGAGGCGCTCTGACAACAATCCGTGCACTAATGCAACAGGGGATTAGCAATTCGATGTGTTAATTTTCTAAATGCAACATAACTAATGGACCAACTGGATCCTCTGAAGCTGGCAGGAAGGATTCATAAACAGAGATGGCGCTCTACACTGGGCACTCTCTTCCTTTCCCTAAGGAACAGCTTCCTTGCAACCTGGAACTCAAGAGTCTGCAAGCAGCACAGCTCCTGAAATGTAATGAGAAGGCTCTCTTGAGTCCAGGGGCCACCTGCTGGCTGCCCTCCAGGACTTGGAACGAGAAGGGGAGGTTCCAGACAAGTTGCTCACACCATGCTGGCATCTCATCTCAATCACAGGAAGGAGCTGCTCATGGGATCCTCACTTCCAACCACCTGAAGTTCCAAACACTTCATTCATTCAGCATTTATTAGGTGCAGATTCAATAGCAGGTACTAAGCCAAGTTCTGGGGTTGGAAAAAGACAAGACGGAACAGCTGCCCTCCACGGTTTCAGAAGTCAGCAGGAGAAATGGCCAAGTAAACAGATAAATGGACAACTGAAATGGCCGAGCCGTGCAATCAACACAAGGAGAAGGTCCAAGCGATGAAATTTTCCTTCCACAGGGGGCAGAGGTTCCTCTCCATGTATTCATTCCATCAACAAGTGCTTATTAGGCACCTATTATTTGCCAGGCATTGTTCTAGTCTCTGTGGATATGGAAGTTAACAGAATAGACAAAACTCCCTGCCCTCAGGGGGCTTCCATTCTAGTGGGAACCCAGTGAGAAGCAGGGAATTATCTCCTACCATTTCTTGGTTCCTGGGAAGGAACTGCTTTGGCTTCTTTCTGATAGAGAATTTTCTTTGTGTGTGTGTGTGTGTGTTTGGTCTTTTTTCGGTGAGGAAGATTGGCCATGAGCTAACATCCATTGCCAATCTTCCTCCTTTTGCTTGAGAAAGACTGTCCCTGAGCTAAGATCTGTTGCCAATCTTCCTCTATTTTGTATGTGGGATGCTGCCACAGCGTGGCTTGATGACTGGTGTGTAGGTCTGCACCCAAGATCCAAACACACCAACCCTGGGCCACTGAAGCAGAGCGTGCAAACTTAACCAGCATGCCAAGGGCCTGCCCAGAGAATTTTCTTTTTTGAACTGAGAAAATGTAAAGGTTCAAGTAGGTCACCTTGAGTTTCACTCCACTCAGTATCACACCCCAACGACCCATGTGATAGCTCTTGCCTGGTTCTTTCCTTCCCTCCCCCGTAGCAGCCCCCAGGCACTGTTCCTCCTAACTTCCCTACACCTCCCACCCCTTTTCTTCAGGGCGCAACAAGGCTGAAACAGCTGCCTCCCCCCTCCAGACTATACTCACCGGGAAATGAGGTAGAGACACTTGGCCATTGGCCTTCACACTGCGATGCATTTCTCTCTGGAGCTGTTTCTTACTCCCCACACGATAAGGAGGGATTCCGTCTCTAAGGGAAGGGAAAAGACAGAACCCACAGGCTCGTGAGGATGCTTTCAGCACATGGGCTGACTCACAGGCCATCCTGAGATCCTGCCAATGGAGAGGGCCACATGCCTCCATGGGCGTGCACCACCCACCCAGGCACCATGGCTGCTTTCACAGGGAAAGATCAATCCAGGATCAAACTACCAAACTTCCTGCTCATCAATCATCTCTGGAAATTTGGCTCCCTCTTGGATTCAGGATGGTCGACTTGGGAAGAGCTTGGTAAGCTCATCTCTCGGGTTGTTGTCTTAGAACTGGGTTACACTCCAGCGGGCCCAGTCAGAGAGAAGGTGCCCCTATTTTACAGGTGCCCCAAGTAGGAGATTTAATTTCTCTTTGGTCCTCCCAACAGTCTGTTACCACTGCAACGTACCACCCCAGATCAGGAAACCGGGGCCTGACAGAGCGTACAGGGCAAAATACCGCAGGATAGGAGGGCCAAGCCAGGCATTAGTGACGGTCTGTGTAATTCCCCAGGAGTCAACCTCCCAGTTGTTTCCAAGTTTCTTCCTTTTATAAATTACCCCAAGGGGATCTTTGGGCTCCTTCTCTCAGCTTCAAACCCTACCACCCCAACCAATGAATTCTCTAAGTCACACGACCAATGTGGGCATAAAGAGAAAGCCCTTACTAGGTGGCATTCTACGCAATTCATTCAAATATCTGAGTACCTACTATGTGCCAGACCTTGTTCTAGGCACTGGGCAAGAGGGCAGGGAAGGAAAGGGATAAAAATGCAGACAACTGCCCTGATGAAGCTTATACTTAATGGGGGGCACTTAATGGGGGGCACAGGCAGTAAGCAAAAATAAAAGAGTAAAATCTAAGGTATGTTAGAAGGTGGTAAATACGATGATGAAATACACTGCAGGAGATGGGGAGAGAGGACTTCTGATGAGCAGGGAAGCACGAGGGAGCTGAAATTTTAAACAGCAGGGGGTAGGTCACTGAAGTCCTTGCTGCAAAGGTGACCTTTGAGCAAATACGTGAAGGCAGTAGGGGCCCCTATGTCCTTCATCGTTATATTTTTAAAAAAGGCAAGAGGAAGCGGTAAGAAACGCCTCCACTCCAGCCAGTCTTCGCTAGAAACATGACCTGGAGTTGCCATGATTTTTTAAAAAGAATTTTGTTCTTGAAAGCAGTTGAATGGTCAAGGTGTGACCATTTTCCCCTGGCTGTCCCTCCTGGAGGCCACCCATTCACAAACGCCTCAGGGTTCCAACATTGCCATACTGAACCATGCTTGAAGGCTGTAAATACTGAAATTAGGCATTTGGTTATTTCCCTTTCCCTGGTGTATTGTTCATCATAGGGTGAGAGGAAGAAAAACATCTTCGGCTCATCAGCAGTGGGGGAAAACCAGGGGTGCCTAAAAATACCCAGGCGCAGCCAAGGGTCACTGGTTGACCTCTAACTCCTTATCTGGAATGCCCTAGAATTCTAAGGCATTTTCTGGAAGTCTGCTGACCTAGGCCAGAGAAGAGGACCACTGTGGAATGATGCAGATCACAGCAGATCAACAGTCCAATGATATGTATTAGCCAAACCTTGGCTAAGAAGCACATCAAGGATAATCGTTTTGAGGGTGCAGGGGGAGAAGAGAGATCAATACAAAGCACGGACTTACACACAGTGTGAGTCCTGTCCCAGAGAAAGGCCGGTGGGGGCAGACACGGGGAGCACTGTGGGGCGGGTCAGAGCCAGATGACCAGTGCCGGCCAAGTCTCCCAGACAGCCCCCTACTCACTGAGGCCTGGGACTTGATTGGGCCTCTAAGGCCAAGTAGGATAAAAGGTTCTAAGTCCAGAAACTTACTGAACCACCTGGAACTTATTTACCAAAACTCAGTGTTTTCACCTTGGGATTGTTTACAAGACATGGGAGAAAACTGGGTTCTCACAAGTATGCCTGGCTTGTCCAGTAACCAAATTTCACACCAGGGGATTGATTCCAACCCAAGGCCGGCAGGCCCCATGTACTGAGTTCCTACTGTGGGTCAGACACATCTGACATATAATCCAACTTCATTCTCACAAACACCCTAATTCACCACATCTTACAGATGACCACAGATGCTCCGTAACTCGCTTGGAGTCAGTCAGTAGCGGTTAGATCCAGGATCCGGAGCCATGCCCTGTTGGACTCTGGAACAGGTGTCCTCAACTCAACAACCTATACTCTCAGCCCCAACTGGAGGAGCCAAGCTTCCTGACTGTCTGAACATGGGGGCGGGGGGAGAGGGGTCATTTCCTAAGCCCCACAAAGCCATCTGACATTCTCAAGGGGTGAATGGGAGATTTGGGGAACATTCTGGAAAGTCTTCCCCCACCACTTAGTACTCACTGGCTACGGGACATGCGAGGTGGCTTCCAAAGCACGGTGAATATCTACCTAAAATCCCTTGTGGGGTGGGGATGACAGGGGGGTTCCCACAGATTGGGTCTCATGCTGGCCCAACCAACTTCTGCTGCCCCAGGGTTGTAAGACACTGTCCACGCCTTCTGACCAGCGACTCTTCCACGGGCTTTCTAAGAGTGGATGGCTCTGCTCCAGGCCTCTGCCTGACAATCTTGGGGGGCAGGAGCCAAGCACCCCATGAACTCCACTGTGACACACACAGGCTTCAGGTGTCCCAGAGGAGGCCCCCATCCATCTACTCCAATACTCTGTCCTTGAGTAGCCTTTGCTCTTTCTTCTCAGATGGAAATTAGTGGCAAGGCTTTTTTATATCTCTTTTTCTTTATCCATTAAGGTAGAAGAAAAAAAGATAAACGGGGGAGGTGGGTATGGAAGGGGGCGCAGGGGAAGCAGGTCACTGCCCGACTGAAGGCAAGAGAAACAAATGATTCTTTAAGCACCCCCAACCAACACACACCACCTCTTCACCCAGGGCAGGCGAAGGATCCAACTGCAGGAAAGGAAACTTCTGACCAGACAAAAAAGGGAGATTTCAACTTGCAGAGGCTCAAAGAGGCTTAACAGGCACCTTCAAGGAAATGTGGCTTGAATTCCCCCCCAAGCCAAGAATCTTCTTCCAGAACAGCCCCTCATTCCAGAAGTGGGCCTCTCTTCTTTTGATTCAGGCTCTAAAAGTCTAGGATCGGCTTCCTGGCTACTCACAACTGTGAGCTGAAGAGTGCCCAAGTTTTGGTCCCTGCACAGTCTACTTTAATTATAAACATTTTAGCTAACGAGCCCGCTGCCGGGCCCAGCTGTTTCTGGGGAGCACTGGTTTTGAAGTGTGGACTCCACTTAGCTGCCATTTAAGCCGAGCCAATTAGCTTAGCCTTTTGACTCCCCCGTGCCCGGCCTAACCTGAAGGTCGGTTTTCCGGCGGCTTTGAAAGAGCAGACTCAGGCGCACGTGCGTCCACCCGCATTTTCATTTGGCAACCGCTCGGAAGGCGGCCTCTGATCACAGCCAACATCAAAAGCCTGGTTTGTAAGATAAGGTAATATTTGAAGTTCACTCAGATGCCTTCCCTGGTGTCCAAAGTAAACCCATAAATAAGATATAAGGAAATAAAAATAAATAAATAAAGTGCCCGGTGCCCCCCTCGGCGTGAAAGGCGAGGAGAGCGACTTGCACTGATTTTGTGACATGGCACCAGCAACCTCCACATCGAGTGGATCCTGATTTGAAGAGCAGCTCTGCACAGAAAGCAAAGCCCGAGTCGCCTCCCCACCCTCGCTGTAGCTCAGAAGCACCTTGGGCGGCATGGAAGCTGCTGTTTCTGCTGTTTCCAGCCCCGGGGCTGCGTCCTCCCAGGCCTGATGCCCTGGATTCGCCCTGCCTCCTTCTGCCCCCAGTGCTCCTAGGACCGGGACTTAGGACTTTGCTGGCAGTCTGGCAGCCAACTCCCCCCGCCCTCAAAAAAAATTAAAAATCCATTTCTTCCGAGAAGGTGGGTTTCAGAGTAACAGGCTCGTAAAACAGCTTTCCCAGAGACCTCCCCTGAAGACCCAAATCGCCCGCCATCTTTAACAGGGCTTTTTACTGAGCGGGAAAACAAGTCGGCAGCGGGCTTGGGGAGAGGCAACGCTTCCTGGAACGCCCCTGTCCGCTCTGCCCCTCCAGGCCCAGGCCAGCGCTCTGGAAGCACCAAGGGCGCGGCCCTGCCCAATTCCATCCAGGCCTCTCGCAAAGGCCCCCGGGACTTAATTGGTTCTGTCGCAAATGAGACAATTGCCTCCCTGGGCTTGTGTCTAATGAACTCCAACCTTCTGGAGTCTATTGAAGGCCGCCTGTGACCCCCTCTCCACTCTCCCCAGCCGCATCCCCTCCCCAACTCCCAGCAGGGCAGCCGCCCCACTCCCCAGCCCCACTCCCCAGCCCCTCGCAGCCCGGCCAGCCATTGTGACCAGGAGAAACAGCCAGGGCTTTTCATGCTTTATGGGGCGCTCCTATTCACTTGTTCAAGGAAATTTCAAAGGGGCCTGCTACCCTCTTATCCCCTCTAAGCTTCCCCAGAGGAACAATGGGCTGAAAGCGATTCAGTGCAGCTTTTCATCCCCCACACACTTTATTTCTCGCTCGGCGCTCTCATCTGCGCCAGGCCCACAATTGGCAGAGCGCTGAAGAGGGGTCTGATCCCAGCCCTGGGAATCCCGGGCGACCCGCCCGACGCTGGGCAGATCACACCCACCCGGCCAGGCAGCCAGAAAGCACCTCGCACAGCCCGGCTTTCAGGGCACGCCAAGTCTGCCAGGCAGGAGAGCGGGAGGCCCCAGGGACCCCCAGGGCCTGGCAGCTCAAGACCCACAGGAACCTGTAAGCCCAATGGGCTCTTGTTCCAGAGGCCCCTTTGTCCCCTTCCATAGGCCACATGAGGCAAACAGCCCTGGACAGAGGACTCCTGAGAGAAGAGGATCCCGCACTGATGAGAAACACGCTCTTGGTTGGTATAAACACCCCCAAGTGGGTGCAGCTGCAGTGGCCGCATCTGATAACTTCCCACTTGGTGGCAAGGAGGCTCAGAGCCCCAACGTGGACATCAGATCAGATCCAATGCCGTGAGCCCCCAGGTCTCCGAGCCTCCAGGTACATCTCTTGGCATTGGCATCCTGGTTTACTCATCACCAACCCAAGGGAGCTACACTACAGGAGGGGCTCACAACACCCTGAGGTCCTCCCACTGGGACCCAAGGGTATCTACTGTGCCCCCAAGAGAAACCCGCTAAGTGAGGGACAAACCCCTGCCACCTAGAACAGCTGACTCACAAAGGTAGCTTCTCTGATCCCTGAAAGTGGCTTCAAGTCGACAAGTGCTTTCGCTAGAGGAGGGAAGGGGAGAGCTTTAAAGTCACATGTAAATAAAAATAGAGAGTCTTCCTTCTGGAAAGGAGACCAAAGAAGGGTGAAGGCAGAGGGTGCAGGGGAGAAACCAGGACTTGCTCCCTCGCAGTCCCCCAACCCATTAAAAAAGCAAGCAGTGTGGTCACTAATAAACAAAAGTAAGGGAAGTGGCATAACGGTCTCCTTATCAACTGGTCCTAATAACATAGCGCACGTGGGAAATTTTCGTGCTTGGTGGGAGGAGTCTAACAGGCAAAGGCCAGGGGCCGTGTCTGGCCTGGAGTTGAGTTCTGTCTCTGACATGAGTGCCTATGGCAACAGTGGGCCTTTCTTCTTCCTCATCTGTAAAGTCACAGGTGACTGACGACCTTTTCGACTAGGTCTTGTGAGGCTCAGATAGGCATGGGGACTACGGCCAGTTATCTCCTCCCGAAGCCAGGATAACACCTCAATGATGGGGACCGACATGCAGGCGAGGAGCAGGAAGCAAGCCAAAATAGTCTCTACAGAACTAAACAGAAGTCTTACAGTCTTAAAGAAACTACATCTGACTTAGGAGAGTCACTCAATGCCCGCATTCAAATCCTACTTACTCTTACTTCACACATAACGCTAAGACTCCCACGCAATCCACAAATTAATAAAAGCTGAAGGAGTAATGCTGCTGGAAGCAAGTACACAGACAGGAGCAAGAAATGACAGCAGGGAGAATGACAGAGAAAAAACCCTATTTTTAAAATGGGGGGCTGCCAACATGTATAGAGGCAGATAGCTTTATACAATCTTGTATTCTCTGAGAAAATACTACAACATAGTATGAAAACATCTTGATATTATTTGGATCAAGAAATAAATTATGCCTTGTCTAATACTATTCCATAAAGACAGATCAAAAACATATTATTTTAAGAACTATGTCCATCAAAGGATAATTTTTTTCAAGTATGGATACCTAAAGAGTTCAGTCAACATGGAAAATTTACTTCTGTGGAACCCCCTCATTTCTCCATGTTGCATGAAAGATGTGTAGCTTTATTCTATTTTTACTCATGCCAAAATCTGTTCTTATACTAAGATGGAGCCTTTCACCTTAAGGATCTCTCTCACTTTAATAACAGGGGAATCTGAGGTGACACAATAAAAAGTCACTGGGAAAATCAATAGTAAAGTACCCAGCCAGCCTCATCAACTTTCCTTCCAACTGGTTCCATGCCACAGGCCAACCAACAAAACACTGGCCAATAGAAACCAGATAACTCCAAGCAAACTAGAAGAATAGATGGTCCAGTTTTAAGAAGCTAAAAGGAACAAACTCTAGTATGTATACCAGAATTTACAACAGCTCAATGGGTTTGCCTTTCAAAACTGTTCCCTTGGCAAGAGAAATTCCTTTTCCAAAACATTGTGGAAAAGCCTTCAAAGATCATTTCTAGAACAGTGGTTCTCAGCTGCGTGTTGGGAGACAAGACAAGCTCTTGGGGAGTTTCACCCAAGCCCAGGCTCCACCTCCCTCAGGTCTCTGGAATCAGAAAGAATCTCAAAGGAGCTCAGGAGATGGGGATACCCAGCCCACCACACACACACCTCTATGAGTCTCACCGAGAACTGCTGTCCTCCATCTACAGAGATCACCACTGCATGACCTCAAATGACCTCAGACTCAAAGCATGACCCTGCCTGATGGGCTGCTGACCTCATCAGACCACCCCAAGGACTTGGATTGCTTTCAGAAATCAAAGCCGTCCATCTGCAAAGATCCGGGATCAGACACAACTTTGGGCAGAACTGCTGCCTGACAGAGTAGGTGCTTGAATGATGTCCACTTGAACACATCCACGAGGGGACATTACACACCGTGGCTCTTTAGAGAGCTCTGGCTTTCTGACTCCCATCTTCAACGTCTTTTCCTTCGAAAACAATGAAGACCTAAACACAAACCCTTCTAATGCCACCCTGTCTCCCACCTGTTGGTTCTGCAAGTGGGATAACTGGGTTTCAAGACCAGCCGAGCACTTCTGCCCACAGGGAAGGCAGAAAAACTGACAACCGGAAGATGGGTTTTTAAACTCAAGGAATTTAGATATTCATCTTAACCTTCTATCTCACTTCAGTTTTCCTCTGTTAAGATCCCATCCAACTTTCCTTTCCAGGCTCTAAGCTTAACACTCCCCAGACTACCATGTCACCCTCCTAAGCCAGCACGGCACCCCTGGCACACTCCCCTCCCACCAAACAAAAGTCTACACACAGATGGGATCTGTAAAGCCAGGTGAGAATGGCTGAGGACTCCGCCCAGCTGGTAGGTCACACTGCTAACCATGTACATGATGGGGATACCGGAATACTTACACGCTACTGTCCGTCATGGACATGGAATCATCAGTCAGTGCGTCACTGGATATCTCACTATCATTGGCGCTGGTGGCTGGTGCAAAGACATAGCCAGAACCTACATGGTATGGATTCACAGGCTCGCTCCTCTTGAAGGACCTGCAGGAAAAGTACAACAGCAGTGCATCACTGATTCTCTCCAGAAACCCAGGTAACCAGGTGACCAGGATGACAGAGTGCACAATCCTACAATCTGTTCAATGCCAACCTGCTGCCCAGGGCCAGCTGATCACAGACTGAGAGCAGGGGTCACAAAAGGAGCCTGCTGAGCCACTGACTTGCCCTGGGGAGAAAGCAGGTTGGATTCCTCTGTCCCCAAAGGTGAGCCCTACCAGGGGACAGAGGAGGACCCCAGAGGCAGCCAGGGGATCCTACAAAGTTCTAAATACACACATACATAGAGGAGGGAACAGGACTCCGCTCTAGGAGGCGAGGCTATGGAGCGAAAGGGGAATAAGTCAGTGCACAGTGTCTCCCTCTCCCCATCCCCACATCCAAGCCTGCACCAGAAGCATACAATTTGAGGGTCCCAAGACATCTTAAGCTTCCAAACTCCCCGCCTGGGCTCTATCAGCATAGCTCCAAGATGCAAACACCTAGATGTCTGTCCTAGCCTTCTCTTTTCAACCCTGGACACAGTAAGCTGCACAGATAGGACAGAAAAGTTCAGGACAATGTTTAGGACTTCTATCCCACCCTGAGCTGGGCCTCTGCCATGCCCTTCCCCCAGCCTGGCCTTCCTTCTCCCAGGGCTGGCTAAGGCCAGCAGGATTAAAATGAGCAGCACAGCTGTTTCAAAGGAAGGTCCAGGCCCCTCCTCTGGTGTCTCCTGCCCTTTTGTTGCAGTGGCCTCTGCCTCCCCATTTTGCCCTCTTGATCTCCTCCCAGAACAACCAGTGTGTCTGTCCCCTGCTGGGCTGCATTCCTCTTGTGTCACCAGTGAGGAACTGAAGTGGGGGGAGAAGGAGGAAGGGGCCACTGTGGTTGGCGGGCTGCAGGAAGGGGCCTGTGAAGCCTGAAGTTGCAAGACACCTCGTATACAAAGACCCTGGCATACTCCACTGGGCCCACCACGTCTAGGGCAACAGCAGAGAAATCAACTGGAGGAGAAGGGAAAGGCTAGAAAAGAGAACATGTTCTTTCAGACCACCGCGGCCGGTCCATACAGCCAGCTTTGGAGTTGACAGATGAAAGGAACCCAGGAGAGGTCAAAGCAGTCTTCGGCATGTGTTCACCGAGCTCCTAGTCACTGACAATGTGTCCACTGCTACACTGGACTCTGGGTGTTCCCAGCCCCGGTCTCTGCTCTCCTGGCACCCATGGCCTGGTAGGGGTGTGTTACCATAATGTGAGGGGGCACCACGAGGGAGGCAGACACAGTGTTAACACGGGTCCACAAAGAGGGGCTCACCTTCACACACATCAATCGCTTTTAATCCTCGCAGCCACCTGGGGGAGAAGCAGCACTGTGCCCATTTTACAGATGTGTCCTTGGTGGTCCCACAAGAACAGCAGCCTGCCCTAGATCACAGAGCTGGCGGGCAAGGGATTGATTTGTTGGGTTCTCTCTCAACCTCTTTTTCTGCCTCCTAATACAAAGACTAGCCTCAACATTTTAAAAAATTCTTCTAGAATCAAAAGCAGGATGAGTGGCCTGGGAGAGGTAACCCTGGCAGAGCTAACGATGGAGAGGATGCTTCTAGCTGGGATGGCCGGGGATGGCTCCCTGGGACAGGTGGGAGGAAGGTCAACCTTAACGGATGAGCATGAATTCAAGGAGATGACACCCAGGACCTGGGAAGGGGAAAGCAGTTAAAAGCCCTCCCCAGACTGGGGAGGAAGGGAGTGGGGCTAGTCGGGGCAGGAAGAGGAGGGGGGGGCCTGAGGTGTTCCCAGCGGCACCTGTGATCCAGCGGGTGTGCCACCAGGTTGGACTGGAAGGTGGGGTGGGGGTGGACAAGGAGTTGTTGCCACAGTTTGGTGTAACGGCCTCAACAGGGGGCAGTGGGCAGGGAAAAGAAGGTGGAAGAGACGGTCCCTGTCTTTAAGGAGTCTGTACCCTAGTGGCTGGAGTGACAAAACAAATAAGAAAAGTTAGCTTCAGAGTCAGAACATTTTAGAGCCAGGATGAACCTTAGAAATGATCTAACCCAACCCCCTCAGTTTAGAAATGTTAATGAAAGCCAAGAGCTACCAGTGATGGAGCACTTCGTATGGGCGGGGTCTTTGTTTTTGTCACTGCTGTACCCCCAGCAGTAGTGCTCAATGAACGTCCGCCCAATCATCTTTCATCCTCACTACCACCCAAGGAGGTAATGGAGCCCAAGGTGGGGGTGTCAAAAGCCTTGTTGGAGGGCCACCCGTCTGAAGAGTCAGCCACATGGAACCAGTATCCAGACTCCCAGAGGAGCCCAACATTAGCAGGGACCTTGATTCTGTTCTAGTGAGCTAGGCTGGAACATAAAGCCAGATCTTAGAAACGTTACATAGGTGTGGAATTGACTGGAAAGTGCAAATGAGGAATGTCACACCTGAACCCGTCAAACACCTTGGATCAAGTGACCTTGAACTGTCATTTGGACACTCTAACCCTGTTCTGATATCTGTATAGGGCAATAAGGCTCAACGCCTCCCAGGACATTTTATGATGATTAAATGAGGACAGTAAGATCTTCCATGCCTTAGAACTGGTCCCCATGTCCTCACTCTGGGATTTCCAGATCCCAGGTCTAGAGAGGAGGAAAGGCAGTTGGTTTTTCTGGAGAAGAGAAGAGATGAGGGATGATTCAGTTAAAAGAGTCTCCCAGTTGATAAGGGAACTCAAGAGGTGGAAGAGGATGATTCTGTTTGGCTTTGCCACTAAAGGCAGAACAAGAGGAAATAGACTTTCCTATAAGATAGAATGAAGAAACACTTCTTAATCCTCAGAGTGGACCCATGGAGTGGATGGGGGCAGGCTATGGAATCACCCAAGTCTTATCTTTTTTTTTTTTTTTTAAGATTGGCCCTGAGCTAATATCTGTTGCCAATCTTCCTCTTTTTTTTTCCTCCCAAAGCCCCAGTACATAGTTGTATATCATAGTTACAAGTTATTCTGGTTCTCCATGTGGGATCCCATCACAGCATGGCTTGATGACAGTGTGTAGGTCCATAACCAGGATCCAAACCAGCGAACCCTGGGCTGCCGAAGTGGAGAATGTGCTCTTAACCACTCGGCCATGGGGCGGGTCCCAATCCAAGTCTTTAAAATAGCCCAAAATTCCAAGGTATCTGGGGTCCTTGGACTGGGCTACTGCCTCAAAGCAGGATGGACAAGATAACTTCTTCAGGGCCCCATCCTATCTTCAGGACCCCATAATAAGTAACTTCTGTAAGCCCTTGATTGGGACCAGAAATCAAGAGGCCAAGAGCTGGTGCTGGCTTAGCTCCCAGCCAGCTGGGCAACCACAGGCGAGTCACAGCCTCCACGGAGGACAAAGTAGGCAGCTCAGGGCTGGCCTGGTGGCACAGTGGTTAGGTTCGTGTGCTCCACTTCGGTGGCCTGGAGTTTGCAGGTTCAGACCCCAAGCATGGACCTACACACCACTCATCAAGCCGTGTGTGGCAGCATCCCACATACAAGGTAGAGGAAGACTGGCACAGATGTTAGCTTGGTGACAATCTTCCTCAATCAAAAAGAGGAAGATTGGCAAGAGATCTTAGCTCAGGACCAATCTTCCGCACCAAAAAAAAGAAAACAAAAAGAGGCAGTTCAAACATGGCCATCTGCATGAAGTTCTTACATCCGCTGAAAGGCCCAACAAGGGCACTGTAATTTGGGAGGATCATGGTTAAATAGTCCAAAAACCAACCGCCAACAGAGTGCCCCTGTAGCTCGTCTTCCTTCCATGGCATTTATCATGACTTATAATTACAGAGCACGGTGTGTTGACATGCTGAATGCCTGTCCTGTGCAGCTTGACTAGAAGCCCCATGAGGACAAGGACCAGCTCTGTCTTCTTCACATGTGTCTCCCCGAAGCTGCCAGCAATTTGTGGCATGTGGCAGCAGCTCAAAGCTTTGTTGAACCTCCTTAAGAGACTCAGGACCATTAAATGGGTTGCTGAAAAGTTTTTTAGTCTAAGAGGCATGGTACAAGATCAAAAAAACCCAAACAGCCTTAAATAGCCTTCAAACCCTCTTTCCTTCCCTGAGCGTTACTATCTTTGTGGTATTAACACATCGACAATGCCCCAAATGTAAGGGTTGTAATTCAGCCTCATACAGGGAGAAAATGACTCAATAGACGTTCCTCCCTCCCCAAGAAAAAGGGCAGCTAACTCCAACCCATGTGTGCTCACAGCTTTGCGCTCCTTGTTGAACACATGGATCCCAAAATAAACTCGTCTCCCTTCACTTCCAAAATAGAGGGCTACTGTGTGACCAGTAATTAAAAATGGAATATACTGCTCTTAGCTCAGTTGACTGCAATAAAGTATTTGGATTTTCCTACAATCATAACAAGACGAGGCAGAGGAAGGAGGCAGAGCTGTGGGGAGAGACAGAAACTCAATTTTTCAGAACCCAGAACTTTGTCACAATCGCCACATAATTTTAAGAAAACGGATTAGAGCTGTTTTCTTGTGATTACTTAAAGAAAAAAAAAAAAAACGGAAAGAAACTCGACCATGCTACAGTAATTGTACCCAGATGCTTTGATTATTTCTTCAGGACTGTTGTGCTCCCAGTTGCCGCAGGATTTTAAATTCCTACAGAGTGGCCTATGGTACAGATTTTTGCACTGGGCTACAGAGGCTCCTGGGACCTGAAGGGAAAGGAGACATCGGCTGCTATTTTTCTCCCTCAGCCAATTCTTATCTCTTATCTTGATGAGGTGCTGTGGTCCTGCCCCCTCCCCATACACGAGGGCAAAGCCGGCCTAGAGAGAGCACAATAGAACTGACCTTCGGGGTCTCTTTCTGAGTCCCCTCTCAAAACAATGCAACTTCAAAAGTGTTTGCCTAGTTTAGGGCTTTCCAAAAGCCCTCTGACAATTTACTCACAAAGTCACTGCCCAAAAGGCAACACTCTCTTCCACAAGCATTTTCTAAGGCAAGAATAAGGGACACTAAGCGAGTGGCCTGGCACTCAGATGACACTGGGCAACTGGGCCTTTTGACAACAGGCAAACTTTTACAAGTGTATCTTAGCAAACTGCCTTCATCAGAGCTTCCATCCTCTAATTGTGGGCTACTGCTTCCAGCATATCTTTCCTATGGCATCATTTTCTTTGATAGTTGAAGCCAAGCTTGATTCCAATGGCTTCTCACAAAAACGGGCCTCATCAGTGAGTTCTTTCAGAGAACAGGAAGCACTTGGGGCCAGCAGAGGGCCATCTGCTGGGCCCGGCTTATTTTAAGTGATTCTAGAGCACAGGGTCCCATGGGAGACAGAGGAGAGCCGCCTTGGGCAGGAACACTCAAGGGCCAGTGCAGAAAGGGAAGGACACACGCAGCATTCTGTGCACCCCACACTGTCTTCTCCTTCCCAAAATAAATGCTGGGCTGAGCTCCTAATCCCACAGCCCCCTTCACACACACCTCGACACTCTGTGTGTGTGTTTGTGTCCTGGGCTTTTTACACGTTCTTCTACCAACAGGCCACTCTCGCCCTCAGTTATTTATAGAGACCATCAAAAGCCCAGGCATCCCACTCAAGCACTCGCAAACCAGAGTCCTGCCCTCCGAGGATAATTCCTGCTCTTCCGTTCCAACTATTTATATTAAACCTGACACCAAATCAGTAAGGACACAAACAAGTCATTAAAAATGAGGCTCCTTCGAGTGCCCAAGGTAAACACACTGCTTGGAAGACCAGCCACTGCTCTGGGCATCCAGCGGCCCAGACTGCTCCTCAACAGCGGGTGAAGGGAGACCCTCAGCAGGACGTGTGTTTTCGGTTTCATTCATTTTGCTAACTTATTGAGCCCATCCCATAGGCCAGGTGTCTTGCGTGCTGAGTGAGTGTATGAGGAGGGGGAGTTAGGATCCCTACATCCCAAGAACTAGCTGGAAAGACAGACTTAAGTTCAACAGAGAAGGCTGAGGAGTGGCAAGGGGGAACACTCTAAAACTTTCCAGTGAACATGGACTAGAACCCAAGAGTCACTCTTTGAAAGTGACATCCTAACCTGGCTGCCCTTTTCACATACCCATTTATTATCATTATTAAATTATACTAACTATAACGCTTTACATCTGTTCAAAACACTTCCCTTTACAAAGGGCTTTCGTGCTTATTATGTGGATCCTAATAGCAACACACGACATAAGCAGAAGGGATGGGGCCCATTTGTTTCACAGATGGGCACAGGAGTTCAGAATGGATTCAGCCCAGGTAGAAAGCGGTGCACAGGGCTGGAACCCAGGCCTCTGACACCGTTCAGGACACCTCCCAATACACCGTATGCACACTTGAATATCTTGTAGGTTAAAATGAAATTGGATGTCTTAAATTATCTTTGGCAATGCCCAGTTAAGACTTATGGGCACATGTAGTCCAGATAAAATACTTCACTTCAACCCAACAGTGGAAGAAAGCACATACAATTAGTATGGAAACTCAAGAGGCTGAGGAAAAGGTGTCATCTATCTATCAATGACGCCCACAGTTCACAACCAAGAAGGCAAGCACTGAAAACACAAAGGACCTTTGGCCCCTGGCCCAGAATCTCAAAAGCTTCATCACCAAAATGTTGAATCCTGGTAATATCCCAGCTGAGGCCTTTGGAAAGGGGAGGGGCACACCGAGGCTGGGTGTCTACCGCCCACCCACAAAGGGAAGGGGTCACAGCAGGGTCCTGCCAGGGTGCTTTCTTACTGATGACATCCAAAACCACACACGGTGCTACTGTATTTACAAAGGTGACACTCTGGGGCCTGACACCGGGAGGAACAGAAGCCCCACTGTCAGGAGGGCCCTGGAGACGCAGCCTTCCCACAGGCCTTAAGTAGTCTGAGCTACAGCTGCCAAACTGGAGAGCAAGGAGGCCAGCAGGTTTACCCAAATGTTCACGTACAGGAACGGGGCAGCAACGGCAGGTGCCCAGTGACTGCCCTGCCACCAAAGCCAGACCCAGTATCTGCCTCCGAAACAACCTGAAACCACAAGCTTAAAGATGCTGAACTCCTTTCACGTGATCATTTGCTTCCTTGCAAAAGCCAATCCGTTTCCACTTAGGTGTAGACCAGATGTCTGAGTGTGGGTAAACAGGCTCCCAAGGCTGTAAGGGTGCCCCCTGGTGGCTGGAGAACAAGCCCTTCCCTCCCTGTGAAGAGTCAACTCACTTGGCCACCCCTAAATCACCGTGCGCCTAGGCTCAGACCTGGCTACCCTGCCCCTCCTCCAGCTGCCAGATGCTGGAGGCCCTACCCTAGAGAGAGCAAGTCTCCACAGAGGCAACCCCCAGACTGCATCCCTGGTCCCCAGCACAGGGGGAAATACGCAACGGATAGTGAGAGAAGCCGCTCAGACAGCAACCACCCTCCCTTCCCCTGCATGCCATCAGCGGCAACCTAGAATTAAGAGGCTCACTCTCTTTTTGGACGTTTGGAAGGGGAGGGAGAGAGAGAGAAACAGAAAAACTCGTTCTAACAGGAGGTCTGAAGTTGCCTGCAAAGGTCAAGAATCTTAAGACTTGGCCATTCTGTAAAGGACTGTTTGTCTTGAAGCCTCAAAGAGAAAGGACTCCAGGGAACGCCCCCCCCCCCCCCCCCCCCCCCCCCCCGCGGTCCTCACTGGCCAAGACAATTTCCCCATTAGCACTAAGCCACAAAATCATCACCCAAGATCTGACCCTCAGGCTGCAAGCATTGAAAACCTAGATGAATATACCAGCAGACTTGAAAGCTAGAGGTCTTCAGTGGGGAAAGTCGCCGGGGCCCTCCCCAGTCAGGAGTTTCTTGCCAGGTAAATACCTAATGCTACAAACAGACCCACAAGCTCGGTTGTTAAGCCAGCTGCTGCTCTTATCTTAACATAAGTTCAAAATATCCCACTTACCCCCACGTCCAATGGGTGCACACGTTATTTTCTGTGCCTCCACCACAACCCAACTGCCTCCCTAGCCACAGTAAATCCACTCTCTACTGATTAGTGGTGAATGACCCCTTCCAAAACCGGTGCTTAGTGTATCTGGTGACTCAGAGGCATCAAGGCTGCTGTCCTCTCCCTCCCTCTCTCAAGCCCTTCTAAGACCAGCCCAGGATAATAAGTAACCCGCATTAATGAATACTGCATTGGAAGACTGCAGGTATTCAGCTGTGTGCATCACTCCCCCCCCAACAACAAAAAGCAACATCAAAGAGTTCATGGCCAGTGGTCCTAGCTCTCAACAGCCCTTTGTCAGCCTCAGCAGCACCTCCATCCAACCATCCACCCTCCTTAACTCAAAACATCTGCCAAGTCCATAGCATCCTCCAACACCCCAACCCCCTCCTCACCCCGCCAAGTCTTACCTGTATCCATTTTCAACAGTTTCTGTGGACCTCACACTCGCTGTAGCCCTCAGGGTTTTGCTGGACAAGCCAACCACAGTGGGGGCAAGTTTGCACTTGAAGTCGGCACAAGTCCATTCCTCTTCTTCATTCAGGGTAGGGAGATAGCCACACACGACCTTTAGGCTCCCCAGTCCCCCAGTACTCATGTAAGCTGTGTTTTCTCCCCCACTCCTCACGTATTCGAGGTATATATCAGAAGTCAGAAACATCTGGTAGGCATTTTCCTCCATCACCGACTGGATCTCAGTCTGTGCCTGGTCAAACATGATGGAATCAATCTGCTGCTTCTTGATGCCATCTCTTATGTAGGTCTTGGTGGCAGGTTTCAGCTGCTTGGAGACAATGCTGTTGTTCTCGATGTACCTTTTGTAGATCGCTTTGGCTACTCGTAAAGTTTTGGTATCCTTCAGGTTCATCTGCCTGAATCCATTGCAGGCAAACCAAAAGTCTAGGGTATCCACGCATTTCTCCCTCTCCAGGAAAGTCCGGAAGAGATAAGCACCATCCTGATCGCCCAACAAGGAGTGCAACGACTTGGTCCACCTGGTCAGAGGGGAGTCCGGAGATGCCCGCCCCTCGGGCTCCCCCAACCCATCCTCGTTCCGCCTGGCGTTGGAAGAGACAGGCATGGGTTTGGTGACCTGGCCCTTTCCCACCCCGGTCTGGCACGGTGGGGTCTCCCCTTCTTCCCCCGGAACCGGGGGTCGGGGGGCATCCTCGCGGAAGCTGCTGCTGGGATCTGGGAGGCGAGTCACCAACACAGCGCTACTCATGGTGAGGGAGTTCTCACTGAGTTTGGGAATTTTTTTATTCTTCCAGTTCCTCTCAGCAATCAGCGTGGTCTCTCTTTCTCTCTCAAGTCAGCAGGGGCTCATCTGAGCCTCCTTTCTGGAAAGAAAAGGAAGGGGGAGGTAGGGAGAGAGAAAAGGGTATTGATCTAATCAAAACCAGATCTACCCAACATCAAAGCAAGAAAGTAAACAGGCTTTTCAACTCCTCAAATTCAAATCAAGCAACCCAGCTATCTGCGAGGTGCTCATCTAAAGTATCAGACGCCGCTTTTTCAAAGGCGAAATCTGAGCTCCCAGCACACTTGGGGGGGAGGGGCGGGGAAGGTGAGAGGGGAGCCCCGAGGGTGGGAGGCGGGGACAGAGGGGCAGGGGAGGTGTGAGACGTAACCTCCCCAAAACCCACTCGGCCCCGGCACACGCAGGGCAGTCCAGCCCGCGCCTCCCCGCTCCGCTCCCCCCTCTCCCCTCCCCCCGACAGCATTGACTCCAAAGACGCGCACTCCCAGCCGCTGGGCTGGGTGCAGGTGAAACCAATTTCGGTAGATTTCCCCGCTCGGCTCTCCGTACAGATAACTCGAGCTCCAAACGTGCCCTTCCCCAGCATCTGGTTCCCATTCCCCCCACCCCACCCCTTCCCCCGTCCCACTCCTTAAAAATTCAGAAGATCCTCGACCGAGAAAGAAGCCCGCCCAGCACAGGGCTGAATGGGCTCCCGGACTCCCAGCTGGAAAACGCCCCCCCCCCACCAACCCAGATGTACTTGTTCACTGCGCCCCGCCTCCCGCCAAGAATCCGACTCAGTCTACACTTCTGTCTCCCCTGCTCCCCCAAACCAGAAATCAACTAACTAAGATGAGACTAACTTTGCAAGAGAGCAGAGAAGCCTCAGGACCCGCCGCCCTCGTCCCCCCAACCACCTCCCGGAGCCTCAAACCCTACAAAACCGGACCAGAAACCGTCTCACGCTACCACTGCCTGTGCCAAGAATCCCAAACTCTACTGATCTCAAGCCTGTCTCTTTTTTCCAAAAGAAAAAACTCTTATCTAACCAATAAACGAGCCGCTTTCCCCAGCACGGGAAGGATCAAACTAAGGAGGGCCAGGGCGCGCCAGGGGTGTGGGGCGCGACCCCGAACGAGGGGCTGGGACCCGGGGCCTGCGGTGGATGCGCACGGCCCCCGCCTGGGGCTTCAGGCCGCCAGGCTAGGCAACTCAGTCGGCGGAGTGGCGGGGCCGCCGGTAGCGCCGCGTTACCCGGGCGGAGGGGAGGTGGGGCGGCCCCGTTACCTGGAAGACGAAGGCGGCCCGAGACCGGGCTCTCATCTCCGCCGAGACCCCCAGGCCCGCCCCCCGGCCCAAATCCAACCGAACACGTCCAGAGCCCCGGCGAGCGGGCCGCCGAGCGCGGGGCCGGAGCCCGGGAGGCACTCGCAGCACCCCGAGCCCGGACGCGGGTCAGTCCCCCGCGCCGCCGCTCGCACAGGCGCCCACAGAAAAAGCACGGAAAGCAGCAGCCTCGTCCAGAAATGGCGACGCGCGGAGTCTCTGCCTCTCCGCAAAAGGGGGCCGGGGGCGCGAGGCCCGGGTGGGGAGGAGAGACGCGGGGGACGCGGGCGCCCCGGGCTCGGGCAGCTCCTCGCGCAGACTAAGCCTGGGCCAGCGCTCCGGGCCCCTAGGCGCGGACCAGTAGCTGGGAGGGGAGGGGGAGGGGAGGGGGGGCGGAGAGGCGGGAGGGAAGGATGGGGCGGGGGAGAGGGGGCGGAGGGGAGGGCCAGCGGGGGGCGCCGCCACCCTTTCATCCCACCTTCCAAAGACACTCCCGCGCACACTCACACCTCGACTCACATCCATAACAACGACAGCGATGCGCCCTCCGGGGGGGATCTGCCCCCTCTCCGCCCCCACTGCAGCCGCCACTTGCAGAAGTCCCTCCGCCCGGGCCCCCGCCACCCCGCTGGGGAGGGGGTTCGGGCGCCGGACGCGCAGGGCGGCCCGGCCAAGCCCCCCGGAGCGCTGGGCGCCGGGCCCGCCGCTCCCCTCCGCGCCCGCCCGGAGCGCGCCCCGAAATAGCCGGCCTGCCAACTTCAAAGGGCCGCCCGGCACATCAAAGCGCACGGGCCGCCCCGCCGCCGCGGCCTCGGCACTCACCATTGATCCGCGCGCGCGCTCCGCAGCGAGACCTCGCAGGCGCCCCGGGCAGGGCCCTGGCCCCGGCCCCCGGATCGGCTCGCAGCGGCAGCCCCGGGCCCCCCCGGGCCGGTCCCGGCGTCGGGGAACATGGGGAGTCGCGCGGCAGGGGAGGGGGTGCGGGGAAGCAACAATCCCGGGATTAGAGCGAGATCCACCGGCCAGGGAGGGGGAAAGCGGCGCTCCCCGCCGCCCCTTTTATGCAAAAGATCCGAGTGGGCCTCCGCCCCCGCCGCGGCCGCCCCCGGCCCCTCCGGCCCCCGCCCGGCCCGGCTTTCAACACAGGTCCTGTTTCCAGCAGTCACTCCGCGCACCAAATGTCCTCCGGGCGCTTCCAACAAAAACTGCGCTGTGGATTTAACTGTGCACTTCAAAGGCGCGAGCCGAGCGCACGGTCCTGAAAGGGAGGTACGCACCAGCCGCGCCCCGGGCCGCCCCCCCGGCCCCCGCCGCGCCTCCTCGGGGCCGTCCGGCTCGCACCGCCCCTCCCGGGCCAGGCTCGGCCGGCGGACCCCCTCTCGCCCCCGGCGCCCGCGACGCGGCTTGGCGCGACCTCGCCCCGGGCCCGAGGGGGGCTTCCTTTGAAGCAGCTCTGCTGTGGCCGCGCCTCCACCCCCACCTTTTACAGCAGGGCCTTCGGCAGGGGAGACGGGCGCCTCGGACGCCGGGCGGCCCCTAAATCCAGGGCTACGAGGGGTTATTTTTATTTCGCGGCTCTCGGGTTGTTACTGAGTTGCCAGGACCTTATCAAAGCGCAGCCGGCTCCAGCCGACTCCCCCGGGCCGGGCCGGGGAGCCAGTGATCCCGCCGCGCCAATCACAGCCGCGCTCGGCCGGCCCGCGCCGCCCGCTTAAAGGGACAGCGCCCCGCGCCCTCCCCGGCCGGCCCGGCCCGCCCCCGCCGCACGCTCGGCTCCCGCGTTAACCCTTCCCCGGCCCTCCTCCGCCCCCTGCCTGGCCCCCGCGGCCCCAGAGGCTCTCCCAGCCTGAGTTCTGATTCCGTCTTTCAAGTTCTCTGGGCTCTGCTCCGACTTCTTCCCGCTGCCTGCCCTCGCCCTCCCCAGCTCTGGAAAGCAACAGTTTATTGTAGCATTCTGGCCGTCGCAAGAACTGCAAGCAAGCAAAATTCTTTTTTTCTATCATCAAACACTTTTCTACCTCTTTTCAAGTTTCCCTGGGAATTTGGGCTTGGAGGATTCTAGTCTTGGGATCGACTGACCAAGTGTCATAGGGCGAACGCAGGCCTGGATGCAGCAGGCATGTGCGTGCCTGTGCGCGCATGTAACTGAGTGTGGGTTAGAACCACCGTGCGTGCGTACGTGGATGTGTGAAGATGGGGATGTGAATCTGCCAGCACAGGCCTGAGTGCTGGGGATGAGCCCTGACGCCTCGTGAAGAAGCATCCCTCAGTTTCCTGAAAGTTTGACCCCAACTTCCCAACGTGGCCATCAGAACCCTCCTTGCACACACATGGACCATCTTTCTTGTAACAACTGCGTACCCAACACTCTCGCAAGAATCCCTCATCCTCCCATATGTTACATATTAAAGAGACATGGAATGTCTTTTTTCCCCTCCACCCTCGGTTTTAATGTACTGAAAACTCCTCTCCCCAATGTCACCTTTCAATTCCTCCACACGTTCCCCCAATAATGTTTACGAGGTACAACCTTCTCTTTGCACTTAAGAAAACATGCCACAAATCTAGAACATTATTCATTTACTCATCACTTGCTATAAAATGATGCCTCATATGATAAGCTAATAATTAACTTTTCCTCCTGTTAAAAAACATACAAGTGTAAACCAGATTTCTTCAAGAAGGGAAAGGGAGAGCCCAGCATCGTGGGAGCTGTGCGAGCGTCTGGCTGTCCAACTCTATTCCCTTTTCCTTTATTTACTTTCTTGTTGAACTTGATGGATGACAAACCCTCTTCAGTACAGAGGTGCCTCTAACCTGTCATGCGGCCTTCAGAACTTTGAAACATGCAAGTAACGTGTCTGTCTGTTTAGGTTTCCATAGGAAAAAAGAAGGAAGATACACCACCCATGCTCTGCTGGAAAAGGGCAGGCGTCACAGGCACTGCTCCACCCCCAGCCTATGGGGCTGTGACAAGGGACTAGAGTCCTTGCAGCCCATGCTGCCAGACTTTTCAGCTCCTGGGTGCCAAGGCAGGTGGCATTGCCCTCCCCAATACCTGACTCTTTGTGCCCATGGTCTGCCCCTCTGGGCTCAGCACTCCAGGCAGCCAGGCTGGCATAAAGCCAGCAGTCCAGGCTATGAAATACAGCCACCTCGGGGCACACCAGGAAGGCCAGTGAAAGAGTGTGGCCCGATGACTCATCTCTGCCTTGGGACAGACAACTGCTGGGTGTGAGGAAACTGGAAGCCAGTCTGCTTCAGGTTGGCTCCTCTAACAGCCCTGCCTTCCGGAGTGCTGGCATGTGGGACCCATGGCCAAGGGCACACCCACCCCCTTCGGCGACCCCAGGAGAGCCAGGGGCAAAGCTGTCCTTGTGGTTCCGGGGAGTCTATAGGCCACAGAGGGTGTTATTACAGGAACGAAAGTGTATATGGAGGGGAATGAATTGCCATAGAAGCGTTTACAATGTAAACAGCAGCAGCGCGTGCAATTGCATGCATGCACACACACACACACAATGTGGGGGAGGGGAGATAAAAAAATCAAAACATCCAAAATCAAAATAAACAATGATCAGAAAGAGGACGCTTTAAAAAGGAAGTGGAAACTTGGTCTTCATGGGTGGTTCCTCCCCCCCCCCAGCTGTCCCCATTGACCCTTCACTGCCCCCCAGCCAGCCCTAATCATCCCTGGCTTGGCTTTAACCGAAGGACTCTCCTTCTGCTCCCTCATTATCCCAGGGCTGCAGCGGCAGGAAGGAGAGACCGGGGATGAGGACACAGGAGCACGGTCTGGCTCAGTTTGGATTTTCTCAGTAATGACCCTTCTGACAGCCTGGTTTCCAGAACAGGTGCTCAGTCACCTTGGGCCAATGACTCCCCTTCATCCCACCCCTGCACACCCCCCTCCCCTTCATATCTGCTGGTACATTTCCCATCCAGCAGGAGGCTGGGCCAAGTGCTGAGGAGCCGGGGCCCTCTTGAGCCTCCAGGTCTTTGACTACTTGTTGATAATGTTTCTGGAGGAGAATCCAAAGTCCTTGCCTATACCCTTTCTCAAGATAGCACAGTTTTCCATTTTCCCCTTCTCCCTGGCAGCAGCGATATCATGTGACTGGTTGTAATCCTGCACGGTTGCCTGGAAACTGGAAGGCAAGGTGATGGATTTCTGCACATGCTCACTCTCCCTGCTCCTTTAAAGAAAAACCCTGCAGAGGATCAACAGCCCACTTTGCCTAAGTGCAGACAAGTTTAATAAAGCAGAGAGTAATTCTCTTCTGGAATTATGTACCAGGCTGAAATCCTAGAATCCCAGAAAATGAGGATTCAGGGCTCCCTGAGAGGCAGCTGGCCAGATCTCCAAGCTTAGTCAGCCCCACAATAGCCCTCTGGAGGGGAAGGCACACCAGCTGTGACTTCAGAGGAGCTCAGACTCAGGCTACCACTCTCTAGGATTCAGTGACTTTGTCTTTATTTCTTTGAAGAAGAGCCACCTTAGATGGTGTACCTTTGTTTAGGGAGGGAGGTGGAGAGACACAGGTAACCTTTCCTAAGACTGCAGGTCACCTAATGGCTCTGAGTTCCGGTGTGTTCACCTGTAGATTGGAGGAAACACCCTTCAAAAGCTGTTGTGAGGATAAGCAATGAGGTAAATGTCCAGCGTGATGTGTGACACACAGTAGGTGCTCAAAACATGTGGTTATTTCTGGGTAGTCACCCTGTCCGCTCAACAGCCTGTTGCCTGTTCTGGGAAGAAACTCCCCAACTTCAAAGGAAAGATGCCCTCCAGATAGGAGCCACACTCCTGGGGCTGGGGGCCTGGAAGCGACCCAGGAGGCAGGGGTGAGTTAGTGCCCCCCGCAAAAGAAATATCAAAACTTTCTAGCCAGGGGGCCCTTAAATTAGTGTCATCTAATCGAACCCATCATTTAAGAAATGAGGGAAATTAAGAAAAGAGGTGAAGAGATTTTTCCAAGGATCACTCTGCCCATGTCGGAGCTAAGCTAGAATCTCCTGGGGTCCTGACTCCTGTTCATCCTCTTCTTCCATACCATGGTGAGAAGACGCAGGGCAGAGCTGGCTTCCGCGGCAGGGCTAACAAATGTGATTTGAGATGATTTCCTAGGAGAATCATCACAGGGCTTCAGCCTGAAATTCCCCTGAAGCCCACTTCATTCATCCCTACTTCTGTACAGGCTTGACCCCCAGAACTCCGCTGTGCTGAGCCGGCCCCTGGGCGGTTCCACCAAGTCTTTTATAGCAGCAGATGTCTCCCAGGGCATCTCGGTAGGGTTGGTCCACCTGAGGGATAACTGACTTTAACAGAGCCGGAGAAAAAGGAGGCCTTGACTTCCGACCTGCTCTCTCTCCCTACTTCCCCTCTACAGGGGGCGGACCTTGAATGTCAAGGTGGAGATTTTGAAGCCCCAAGCAAAAAAAGTAAGGTTTTCCTAAGAAATCCTATCCATAGAAGTGTTGGGGAAACTTATTTGTTAATAAAATTATCATCTTTGGTATGTTAAATGTAAAACACAGTTAAGTGAAACAATAATTTGAAATTTCCTAATCTTATTTATTTTCAAGTGCTTTTCATATTTCCTTCAAATGGAGCTACAAACTGCTGGGTTTTTCAGCATCTCACCATTCATCATCTCGGAGTTTGGCTTTAGGTGTGGGACTGAGCCAGTAACCGGAAGAAACCATCAATATTAAAGCAAATCCAGAAAGAGGTTTTGATTTTTGAAGTTATCTTCTCCGTAACGTCAAGCAGACACACACAAAAAAGGTTGCTTTCAGAAAAGGATGTGAAAAATAGATAGCAGAAAGAATCACTAAGTCTGTCCTGCAACTGGCAACACGTGGAACTTTGCTAATAAATAGGTCTGAGTTCCTAAGCTCTCTCCACTGACTTTTTTTCCCACTCCTGATGTTTCATCCTGCTCATTTAAGACAACTTCTGGAAACTGAAGTTTTGCCAAGTTTGAAATCAGTTCCTTTATTCTCTCATGTCAGTGTTTCTTGATTTGCTTTGAGCATTTCCACAAGCTGTCTGAGCGCTTTCCCGGGCTCTACGGGACTCGCGGCAGTGGGCCAGGATGCTTGGCAGAGTGTCAGGCTGCCCGGAACACCTGGGGAGGGTCTGGATTCTGCCTCCTGTTGAAGAAACTCCCCTACATCAAGTCCTCAACGGGTTGCTTTATTATGTGAACTGTT